AAATATGAGAGATGCTGTCTCAAAAAAAAAAAAGTAGAAAACAAAACAAAATAAAAGGAAAAAAAAAAAAAGAAAAGTCTTAAATTCTCCAAGGCTGTCTTCCTCCAGTTCTCATCTCATCTGTTGAGTTGCTCAAGTTCAAAACCTAGCAGTTATCTTAGAATATTTTCTTCACTCCCCCACATCCAGTCTAAGAAATTGGATGTCAGATCTACTTCCAAAATATAATTCCAACCTCATCCACTTTTCTTTGCCTACATTGCCACCTGCCTAATCCAAAGATGATGCTTAGGCATCATCTATTGTCTAGAAGACTTCAACAGCCTCCTCCCTTTTCTCCCTACTTTCATTCTATCCCCATAGAGTCTGCTGACACAATGATCAGAGTAATCTTTTCAAAACATACGCCAGTTCCTGTTGCCTCTCATTGCACTAAGAATAAAATCCATAGTTCGTATCATGGCTTATGAGGCATTATATTCATTCAACATGATCTGGTAGGCCTCATGCTGTCTCTCCAACTTTGCCCTACCACGTTGCCCTCATTCACCATATTCTTAGCCATACTGGCCTTCCCTTCATTCCTTGAACATGTCAAACTCATCCCTGCCTCAGAGACTTGGCACTGTCTTCAGGCTGGAATACTCTCCCACAGACCTTCTTATGGTTGATGCCTCCTAAGATGGTCTTCATTGACTGTAATGCTCCCATCATTCCCTGCCACTTACTTTGTTTTCATAGCATTTCTCACTCCCTGTCACTATCCTACTTTTTTATTTACTTCTTATTCTGTCTTACTTGTTGATATGGCCCTAGCACTAAGCCCAGTGCTGGCACATAGAAGGCATTCTGAATATATGTTTATGTTTATGAACTGTGTGAGTGTACTCTCTGAGGTAAGAGAGGTGTATTTCATTCATTCAGCAGGTATTTACCAACCCCCAGCTGTGGGTCAGGTATTGTACTAGATAGTTGGGATGCAAAGGCATAAATAACATGGTCCCTGCCCTGCTTGGTCTTTGGGAGTCAGATTCTGAATATCCTTGAAAAGGAACTCCATCTCCTTTAATAAAACAAAATCTAGCACCTCTGGGTGTGGAGAAAATGGCCAGACTCTGACACCTGGGTACCATCTTCCCCTTGTGGGCTTCTCCTTCTGAGGAGCCTCTCATTCTCTCTTTAAATAGCTCTGGCTCAAATGTGTTCATAGACCACCTACCCTTGGTTTCTCTGAGCACAGCTGAGGCAGACAAGGGCTTTCACAAAAATTTACCAAGCACTGTAGGAGAAAAATAGGGAAATAAAAGAGACCCTAAGGGGCAAACATGTAGCCAGATAGCCTTGGCCCAAAGTAGCTGGCATAGATAAGCTTTGAATGTTGTGGAGTAGAGAGAAGCACCTTAAAAGTTTCCCACCAAGAACCTTCCTCCAAGGAATCTTGACCACTTATTGGTCCGGAGTACAAGATAAAAAACATGGGCTTGCTATTCCCTCACAGTTTTCTGGACTCTAGACCTGCCTCAGATTACTGGTGTCATTATAGAACTCATGCTGTGGTAAGATTTTACTCCTTCCCCAATGACAAGGTTTTGTTCTCTGGGTCCAGTAATTAAGAACAGGTCAATACCATGGTTTCCTACAATGTGGAACTTGTATGTGTTATGTGATTTTAGATGTTTCAAAGTCAGATCAAGGACAGGGAGAGGAAATTTAACAGTTACCAAGTTCTAGAATAAGAAATAGCACCATAGGTACAATACAGAAAATAATTAATTTGCTCAGAACCACAGGGCCCAGAAAAAAATTTGATGTATGACATTGCGATTGAGCATGTACTAGGCCAGGCACTGTGCTAAGTTACTTTATGTGGAAGACCACAAGGAGAATCCATTCTGTGAGTATATGTTACAAGTACAGTAGTCCTTCCTTATCCATGGGGAATACGTTCCAAGACCCCCAGTGAATGCCCAAAATGATGGATAGTACCAAACTCTAAATATACTCTTTTTTCCTATACATACATAACTATGATAAAATTTAATTTATAAATCAGGCATAGTAAGAGATTAACAACAATAATAATATGGAACAGTTATAACAATGTACTGTAATAAAGGGTATGTGAATATGATCTTTCTTAAAATATATTAATTTACTGTACTCACCCTTCTTGTGATGATATGAGGTGATAAATCACCTTGGTGATGAGATAAAGTGAGGTGAATGATGTAGGCACTGTGATGTAACATCAGGTTACTATTTACCTTCTGACAATATGTCAGAAGGAAGATCATCTGCTTTCAGACACAGTTGACTGCAGGTAACTGAAACTGCAGAAAACAAAACCATAGATAAGTGGGGGACTGGTGTGCCCACATTTTATACAAAGGAAAACTGCAGGATGGAGATTAAGTAATTTCTGTAAAATCACACAGCTAGTAACAGCAGCAGGACTTGAATCCAAGTTTCTAACCATGAATGGTACCACACATGTTTAACTGGTAATAGATAATTTATGTTTACTGTGTAAGGATACGATTCATTTACCTTTCTTCATGAAAATAAAAGATCATCTAGCAGCGTCTTCAAATTGTCTAATTGATACTTATCCTCCAAATTTTCAAATCTTTTCATTCAAACAAAAACCAATTTTCAGGGTTCCGTTAATAAACAGAAGCTCACATTCTTTCCATACAAAAAGACTGTTCTAGTCTTTTAATAACTAAACCCAAATAGAATTTTCTAGCCAATTCTGTGTATATAGTTGTACCAGTATAAATTTAAATAATTAGAAAGTGCTCTTGATCTTTTAGCGGAGTAAATTTGGAAGTTATTTTTAATTCCGCAGAAAATGTTGCACAAATAATAAAAAGATACAGAATTTATTATTACAAACAAAAAGTAAAAAACGGATTCCTTTTTCAAGTCTTTCAATCCTTCTGATTCTCTATGGGAAGAAGTCTCATTCGGATGCTACCATGTCTTAACACTGGTCCCCGCAGTTGCTGCTCTCTTATTGTTCTTTTAAGGGAGAGCTCTAAGCTTCTGGCACAAGTGTCCAGCGAGAATTGTTTCATTTTTATTATGTTTATTTTTTTTGGTATCTGCTTAAGTTTATGGTCTAAAGATTCCTTTTTAATAGAATTTACTTGTACAGCATGATGGCTGTAGTTAATAATGTTATATTGTATATTTGAAAGTTGCTAAGAGAGTAAATCTGAAAAGTTCTCACCACAAGAAAAAATATTTGCAACTGTGGCGAAGGATGTTACCTAGACTTCTTGTGGTGATCATTTCACAATTTACACAAATATCAAATCATTGTTGTACACCTGAAAGTAATATAATGTTAAATGTCAATTATATCTCAGAAAAAAGATTTTATTTTCCATAATAAAGTTGGCTTACATAAAATTATAAAGTAAGTAATAGTATAGGCAGTGTGAGGACATAGTGTGAGTCATGGAAGTCATAGGGGAGGAGTGACAGAGGTTTGCCAAGATATAATAGTATGGCCACTAGTCTGTGCCTACTACAAGGGTTCAGAGACAGTGCTGCTAAGGCAGGTTTTTAACTCAGATATTTTTTATTTTCCTTTCTGTAGTGGAGCACATGATCCAGAAGAACCAGTGTCTCTTTACCAATACCCAGTGTAAGGTTTGCTGCGCCTTGCTCATTTCTGAATCCCAGAAGCTGGCACACTACCAGGTATGCCATTGTACCTTTAGAACTGCTTTACTTTCCAGACTTAGTGCCAAGCCACCACTTCTCCCTGGCTTGCACAGTAAAGTGTAATTTCTTCCTCACACCCAAACGTTCCTCCATGTGTGTTGACTGTGACTTGAAGATTGACTTAGTTTTTCTGAGTTTCATCTTTCCCATCCAAATCAGGATCATGTTATCTTCCCTTGCATTTTAGGATAGGAGAAAGTTTGCACTTTAGCTTTAAAAAGACCTGAGTTCAAAAAAAACAACTCTGCTACTCATCTTGGGCAAGAAACTTCACCATCTTCAGCCTCAGTTTCCTTGTCTAGAAGATAAAGATGATAATAATTTTCCCATAAATTATAAAGTCTAGATTTGACAGCATGCAAAGTGCCTTGAACAAAGTAGGAATTCAGTAAAATAGGTTTCTTCTCACACCCTTCCTCCTCAGAAGTTTCTGTGAGGATGAATCAGATGAAAATCTAGTGTTTTTTAGTGCCTTAGATATGAAATGGCATTTGGCTATCTTTGATCTTTTTCCTGGGTTCTTGCAGAGCAAAAAACATGCCAACAAAGTGAAGAGATACCTAGCAATCCATGGAATGGAGACATTAAAGGGGGAAACGAAGAAGCTAGACTCAGATCAGGTAATCCAGCTGCCACACTGAGACCGCTCGCTTCCTGATGAAGCCAGCAGGCAGGTTGGTGTGGTGGAAAGGGTGTGGGCTTCGAGTCAGACTGACTTGCCTTCAAATCCAGGGCCTGTTTTCTACCTCAGCAAGTCTTACTACTTCTCTGAGCCTTGATTTCTTCTTCCATAAATAAATGAACATGCAAATACCAACTACCTTTTAGGATTTTTCCAAACTAAAAAGAGAGAAGGTTTATAAAAAAGCACCCAACACAGAACCTGGCATCTAGTAGGGGCTCAGGAAATAGAACCATTGTTATGCATTACCACCCACAGGTGGTTTGTTGGAGCCAGACAAGAAGTCCTCCATTTGCTACTCAAGGAGAGGAAGTGGAAGGAGGCCAGATTGCTTGATTTCTTGAAATCTGGTGAAAAGGGCTGAGTTCAGCACTTGAATGTTTTGAATAAACAAGTGGAACAAACACCTCTCCAAATGCCTGCTCTGATTAAGATGTAAATGCATGTGCTTTTTGGCTTAGAAATATATGAAAATTGTGCTGAAACAATCTCAGTCCATCAGGGGTACCATTATTTTTGTTCCATGGGAAGCTGATCAAAAGTCATGGGATGAGAAGTTAGCAGATCAGGGCCCAGTACTAACTCTGAAGCTTACTGGTTAGGTGACTTTGGGCAAATCACTTAACCTCTCTGTATTTCACCCATAAAATGGAGATGATAATTCCTACCTCAAGGGTATTTTGAGGTAAAATTCCAATTCCTACTAGATGCTCAATGAATAAGAATTTACAAACTGTCTCCTATTTGTATTGGTCAGATGTTTGGAAGGGGCTTACTCATTCCTTCTCCAAATTCACCAGACTTCTTATGACCACCCTTCTTCTTATGATTTAGAATTCAGAAAGACAGGATCAGCTGTGACTCTGGGCAAGTCACTTCACCTCTTTGTATCTTTGTTCCTTCAGCTCTCAGGTTGGCCTAGTAGTTCAAATGAAATCACAGGCCCCTCTTCCCCACCCCCGACCACCACCAACAACAAAGATTTTCCTGCCCAAAAATGTTGATAGAGCCAAAGCTGAAAAATGCTGTCTTAGAATGAATACTTTATTCAGATTTCATAGATCAGGCATCATAGAAAGGCTGGAGCCCTTAATATAGGCTTGAAATGCATTGTTTTCTAGCTAATTGCAATCAACAAGTAAGACCCAGTGATCTGCTTATTCAACAGACCTGAGCATCTGCTGTGTGCTAGCTTCCAGCAGGGTACAAAGAATAGGAAACAAAGATGAGTCCAACAGTCCATGACCAAATGTTGCACTTTAGTTCACAGAAAAGCCTCCTTCGCTATAACACTGTCAGTTTAGGGTGACAAGTGGTATGATAGACATCTATTTAATGCATTGGAGGAGTACAGAGGAGGAACAAGATTAAGTTTTCCTGGATACTCACACAAAGTGCCTTGATAATTACTCACTGAATTATTTTCTTGAGTAAACATTTCCCAGAAGAGGTGGTATGTAAACTGGTCCTTGAAAGCTAAGCAGACATGTCAGGCAGGAAAGAAAGGAAGATCATTTTAGGCAGCAGGAAGGGCCCAAGTAAAGCAAGGAAGCAATAGAGAATAAAGTGAGGAATTTTGAGTAGAGCCTGGGACAAAGTAGCTGGAGAAGAATCCAGAAAGGTAGGTTGGGGTTAGTGTGTGAAGTGGACCTTGAAAACCCGTTCTATGGGCAGTGGGGAACCATTGAAGATTTTCTGGCTGGGCAGTGGCATGATCAGACCTGTGTTCTTTCTCCCAACCAGAAGAGCAGCAGAAGCAAAGACAAGAACCAGTGCTGCCCCATCTGTAACATGACCTTTTCCTCCCCTGTCGTGGCCCAGTCGCACTACCTGGGGAAGACCCACGCAAAGAACTTAAAGCTGAAGCAGCAATCCACTAAGGTGGAAGGTACTGGTTTTCCTGAGTAGTGCTATATTGGGAACCCTCCCATCCTCAGGGCACCAAAGCCAGGTGCTCCCAGAAATGCTCACTGGGGCTGCAGACTTGGAGAGGTTGAACTGATTTTGAGAACCCTTAAAAATACCAAAGTAGACCCAGCTTCATTGAAATGCAGCCTTAGAGTAGTGCTCACCTAACCTTCCTTTCTTTAGTTACATCAATTTCTCTCTATAGAAGCTTCTTAACCCTAGCTTTTGTTCTGATGAATAATTATAACTTAGGAGTGCTGAGATCCTCCAGGCCATGCACACTGTGAGAGCATTCTATCTACAACCTCTTCCACTTAGATTTTTCCCTCTCAGCATCCACCTGCACTTACTACGATGTGTTCCAAATTAAAAGCTAAATTCTCACCTTTTTCATGTGCTTAGGTTATACCCTGCTTCCTTTAATCCCCAAAGCTGCCTGTTTTCCACAAGAAGGGACTTGCCTTTCAAAGCTGAATACAGCAGTGCTGCCACTACTACCCAGCAAGCTGTGTTTGCAGCTGCCATGAACTCATTCCCAGTGCAGTGACTTCTAAAATAGCCCCCTGTATCTTGTCACCACTGCTGCTCAGCCCTCAGTTTCATCTCATTAACTCCTGACTGTCTGAGATTTTTAACCTCTGCTGACTGCGGCTTGTCAAGAATGAAAGAATGGAAGTTCTTTGATCTCTATTTCATTTTCTCTTGATAATTTTTGCTTCTCTCTTTATTTTGGACCAAGAAGTAGACTACACTATATATAATACTTATCCCTGTTTGTGTTACTGTATTATGAAAACAAAAACAGTGTTTTAGAAGGCTTTGCAGATAGGGTAAAAAATCATAATTATAATTACTCATAATTATACCCTTTTAACACACCCAAATCTTGTTATTAATGCTACAAAACAACAAAATATGGACTTTGAAGTCAAGATGCCCAGGTTTAAATCCTGGTGCTGCCTTTACCATCTAGATGATATGATTTCTTCATGCCTGAGCTTCCTCACCTGTAAAATGCTGATAATACTATCTACTTTATAAATTGTGAGGATGAAATAGTGTATATAAGAAACCTAGGACATAATAGATGCTCAGTAAATACCTATTGTTAGTATTACCAATCTCTGCTGCTATTGTTAGTATTATCATTATCATAGCCATTGAGTAGAATCCCCTTATAAAATTCAGTAGTTGGTCAGGCATCTACCACCTGAAGCATGTTATTGGCCTTGCATATGGTTTCTTGATAATTAAGTTATACTAGTACTAACTGCTTCTGTTTCAAGTCAGTGTTGGTACCATTCATGATACCAAAAGGAAAAATGTTAGACCAAAGGAAACTAACTTAAGAACAGAGCTTTATAAGGTCATTTATCTTTTTATGGACTTAACCTTTCTATAAGTGAGAAAACTCCCTGGAATATGCCAGGTCCTAACGGTTCCATATTTAAAAGTTTTTTCCATATTCACTTTAAATCCTTGCCATGTGCAGATATGTTTTATATAGTTTTAATCATAGCTCATGTACCATTTGTATCACACTTTAACGTTTAATTTTGAAGTTTAAGCACATTTCCATGTTATTATGAGTTTAGAACTTTCTGAAATTAAACATTTTTCTAATGTAAAAGTAATCCAAGCATGTTGTAGAAAATATAGAAAATATAGATAAATGGAAAGATAAAGTACCCATAATTTTACCATTCAGAGATAACCACTGTTAACATTTTGGAATACTGTTTCTCCTATAATCTGTTGTTAAGTGCATGTGTGTATATCTGTGTGTATATTTGTTTTTTGTATATCTAGATTAAACTCATGTGTATGTGCATATTAACATAGAATACTTTAACCTTAATTGTTTTTATAAAAGCAATGCATAAAATTAAGAATAAATTTAGTTCAAACAATGCAAAAGGTACAAAGAATAAAGTGAAATATCACCTAAGTCCTCCCACAAAGGGAGGAACTCTGTTACTGTATTGGTGACATTTCAAAATACCAATACACACATATAGATTGTGTATGTATTTTTAACAATGATGTGATCATATTGTATGTGTACTTTTCTTTTATGTACTTTTCATTTAATATCAGATTTGTATTTCTCCATGTTATTAAAAACCTTTTTTTCATAAACATTTTTAATAACTGTGTACTATCCTATCGTATCACATTTAACCATTCCTCTAATGATTCTAGTTTTCCTCCCCTTTTTGGTATTTATAAATAACACTAGAATGAACAGCCCTGTAGAATACTCCTTCCATATTTCAACCTGTTTCCTGAGAGAAGGCTCCCATAGATGTTATTGTTTTTGAAACTGTCCATTAAGCAGTTCCTCCAACTTTACATAACCATTCACCTCTCATACTTCTTTTCAGTATCTTTTAAAGATAACGTTTATGTTAAAGGCCATTATAATCTCCTTTCTGATGTCAGAAATCTACTTTCATTGTAGAAAAGTTGAAAATACTGAAAAGCACACATTTATTCTGTTTTTGGTCTCTTTTCCATGCATCACCAGTATGTTTTTGTTTTGCAGAATTGAGGACGTGAGGAACAGACTGCTGTATAACCTGCTTTTTTTTTTTTTTACTACATACTGAATATTTTCTCATATTATTAAACATTCTACAATATGTACATTATTTTTCAGGTAACTTGATAAAACAATGGCCAGGGAAATTAAGATTCCTATGCTGGAAAACCACTGTAGGAAAGCCAGTAAGTTCCTTCTGGCTTGCTAAAAATTGTCAAAACTTCCCCCATTGAAGTCCTGCAGGGATGAAAAAGCATCTGAGCCATCTGTCTGAGTGCTGCTAAGCCTCGCCCTCCTCCACCATCTGTGGGGGTTCTGGGCCACTTTTTTAATGCAGTGGTTATGAGGTTAACACCATTGCAGCCACAGGGACTTGTGAGTTATGTCATCCACTTTACAAGGCAGCTGTGTGGCCTGCAGTCAGCATCAGTACATTTGTTTACACATAGGCTTACACATATGCCCATACTAGACTCTGATTAACTCAGTACATTGCCCAGAGCCAGGGATATTTTCTGAAAGTGAAAGCATGAGCTGTAGCCTTCAAATCGCCTTGTCACACTTTGGCAGCCTGGCATAGCAAAGAGGGCATGCTACTTAGGGTCACCAGACCCTAGCTGGGTGATCTTGCACAAGTCACTTCACCCATCTGAGCCTCAGTTTCTCTCTATAATGTAACAAAATACCTACCTATTGGAGTAGCTCTGAGGCCCGCATATAACAAAATGTCAGTGTCATCCTCTTCTCTCCCTTACTCAGCCTAGAAGGCAGTGTAGCCTTTTCTAAATGACCCTCCAGGTCCTCAGACCCTCAATTTCTACATCTGTGCATTGGCTCCCAGCTCTGCAACTGGATACTTTGAGGGTGGAAATGAAACACCCAAACTTTTTGTCCCACTTGTCGAAAAGTTGCAGGGAATTCTGAGGGATAAAAAAACTGCAAGCGTGTACATTTCTAGTTTGTAATAATTTGGCAACTTGATAGCAGAAGTGCAGAGCCTCCTCAGAAGGTGAGAAAATCAGGATTCATGTACCTAATGTTAAAGGTGCTGAGCAAAAAGTATCAGGTCTTTGGGATCCCCCAACTCTTCCCAGTTTTCCCAACTAGAGAATGCTTTCACAGGTAGTGCCATATCTGCAAGTGTGATTAGTGACCCAGTCTTTCTTTCCAGTCAGCATACTTGAAAACCTGTCACCTTCTGGGTTTTTTCATTGTTTCTGTTTGAACTCTCTCACCGCAGCTCTGTCGAAACGCCTTACAAACCCTTTCCTTGTGGCCTCCACCTTAGCCTTGCACCAGAACAGAGAGATGATAGACCCAGACAAGTTCTGCAGCCTCTGCCATGCAACTTTCAACGATCCTGCCATGGCTCAACAGCATTATGTGGGCAAGAAACACAGAAAACAGGAGACCAAGCTCAAACTCATGGCACACTATGGCCGGCTTGCAGACCCTGCTGTCACTGACTCATCAGGTAAGGGGACCTGCTCACAGCTGAGTCAGGGCTGGATTACTAGGGCTCCCAGGCCACCAAGGTTGTGCTTATTGTTCCTTCTGTCTTCTAAAACAGGCTTTGCAAACTCAAATGCCTGCAGAAACCAGACAGGAAGAAAAACAGGGAGGATATGGTCAGCTGTAGAGTGCATGCCTCACCTAGGCAGCTCTAGGTAGTTGCTACTATATCTTCCAGTTTTTCAAAAGAAAAGCAGAATTTGTATAAGAATTCCCCTAATTTTTAATTGTAACTAAATTAAAAAATTTTTAAACCCTGTGTGAGTCAACCATGTTTACAAGCCACATTTGGGCTATGGGCCACCAGTTTGCAACCTCCAATTTAAACTGCCCATCATCCACATTCCTTGTATGAAGGCCTTAGCAGCCTCTGCCGGGTTTTAGAGTCCTCAGGACCCCTCCTCTCTCCGCAGCTGAGGCCTGCCTATGTATCTGGGAGAGCACAGTGAAGGAGACCGCTCTGACTCCTAATATTAGGTACTTCCCTGACCTCAAGATGCCAGTCAGCATCTCATGAGTCACAAAAAGTTAGGAGCCCGTCCCATCACAGAAGTTACTCATTGCCTGTGATAATGGTGGGAGAGGGGGAGATTATTGTTTTCTCTTTCAGTCAGTAAATACTATATATACCTCATCAAGGTGTAGTAGTGACCAAGACTGACACAGTTCCTATCTCATGGGCCCCATGTGAGCATTGGTGTTGGTCCTTAGGGCTTCCTCCCCATTCTCTGGATATGTAGCACCAGTCAATATTTGAAGCCCCTGTGGAATCCAGGTGTAAACAACTTGGCCTCAGGGAACCTGCTGCTCAGTTATCTCTGCTTTTTCCACAATCCTAGACAGGTGAACCCAGATGCCATAGATGTTCCAGACCACACGTGGGCAAGGGGAGGGATCATACCTCTCCAACAGCCCCCAAACCCTAAAGCAGCCATACAAGACAAGCAGTCCTTGGGCAAGACTGACACAGATAGGACCCATGCAAAGCAGTGGCTTTGAAGCAAGGGGGAGATCCCTTTAGAAGGCAATGCCTTCCCCTTTAACAGGATCAATTTCATATGCTAAGAAATCTAGAAATTTCAGAACCAAGCTCCTCACAATCCTACCTCATGAAGCCCTCCTATTTTGACCTGTGACTAATAGAAACAACATAGCTTCCAGCTAGCATGTCCATCCTTTACTCAGCCCTGCCCTGGTCATTCCCTCATTACTTCTTTATACTCGAGGCTCACATTTCTCTTATTTATCCAAGAATGCCAAACTTAAATCCTGCATATCATTCAGGTAGCCAAATCCTTCCAGACGTCAGAGCACTTAGCATCCCCTCAGGTTACCGGAATCTTCCTCTGCTTCACCCTATCATGTTCTCTCCCTACTTAGGGACTTCCCTCCTATGCAGGATAGGTCTGCTTTCTCTGCCCCAATTGATCCCCAATTTCTTCAACCCCTGTACATAGGGTAGGTTTTCAGATCTTGTTGAATTCATATATAATCAAGAAATATTTGTTGATTTCTTTCCTAATATATGCTAGGGATTGTAGATATGATAGTAAATAAAAAAAGTATTATCCATGTTCTCATGGAGCTTAGAGTCTAGTAGAAAAGACAGGTATTGAGTAAAGAACTAAAAGTGTTACAAGCTTTAGGAAAGGAAATGAGATATTATGGAGATAACAGGATGGAGGAGCAGGGATTAAGGAAGGCTTTCCAAAGGCAAGGGGATAGTGTGGGGCAAAATAATGCTGGAGTGATGAACAAGCATCCAGTCACAGCATTGTAGGTCATGTTAAGGATTTGGGCCTTTCTCCTAAGATCATTAGTAAGTTATTGACAGCTGAAGCATTATCAGATCATTCTGGTGACAAATAAAGAATGGCTTGGAATCGGGAGGAAAGGTTGTGGAGAGAGACTAGCAATGGGACTATTATAGTAATTCATGCTGGAGAAGATGGGAGCCTGGATTAAAGTAGAAGTGGAGCAGGTAAACAGAAGTAAATGGATTCAAGAGGTATGTAGGAAGTAGAATTATCAGTACTTGGCCATCAGATGTGGGAGATGAAGGAAAGGGAACAGTCAAGGATGGTACCCAAATGTAATCTTAAGCAATTAGGTAGATAACCAGATTTTGTCAGCTACAGTTTAAGATGCCCATGAGATACTCAAATAGAGATGTTAAAGAGGCAGTTAGATATGTAGGTCTAGATTTCAAAATAGAGGTCTGTGTTAGAGATATTGCCATTTTGGCAGGTCAGAAACTGTTACATATTGGTAGTTTCTTATGCTTTAACCTAATAAGTGGTAATTGAAGTCAGATATGTGAATGAAATCCCTTACAGAGTTAAGAGAGGGAAGAGCTGAGGGTCTGAAATTGAGCCTTATAGAAATTCTGTCACACACTACAACATGAATGAAGCTTGAATTATGCTAAGTGAACTAAGCCAGTCACAAAAGACAAATCTTGTATGATTCCACTCAAATGAGAGATCTAGAATAATCAAACTCATAAAAGCAGAGTAGAATGGTGATTGCCAAGGGTTATGGGAAGAGGGGAATGGGGAATTGTTTAATGGGTGTAGATTTTCAGTTTTAGAAGATAAAAAATTTCTGGAGATTGCTTGCCCAACAATGTGAATATATTTAAATGATGGAAACACAGTTTCTCTAACCCAGATCTTTCCTTTGATATTACTGAAATGTATACTTAAAATGGTGGTAAATTTTCTGTTACATGTATTTGGCCACAATTAAAAATAAAATAAGAAAAAGAAAGTAAAAAAAAAAACTTGAGCCTCTGGAATGCCTTTATTAAACAGTGGAGGCCAAATAGGAGACAGCAAAAGAGATAGAGAAGGAGCCACCAGAGGAGAAAACTCAAGTGTGGCCTGCTGAAAGCCAAGGGCAGGAAGACCGAAGGAGGGAAGAGTTACCAGTTCCGTCAGGTGCTGTTGAGTGGTCAAATATGATGAGACCTCATAAGCATCCATTTTGTCCATTAAATTTAGATACAGGGAAGCCATTAATGGCCTCAGAAAGAGAGAGAGACAGAGTGTGTGTGTGTGTGTGTGTGTATAGTATAGTGGGATAGGTTGCAAAGTAATTGAGAGGCAAGGAAATGGAGAAGCCTGTGTTAGGTTTTTCAAAAGGCTTGGCAGTAAAAAGAGATTCAGGTCTTCTTCCAAATAAGCCAGATGTGTAAAAATCAGCTCTAATGACTTATGCTTCATAAAATCACGTGGGTAAATGAGAATATCAAACATGTAAAACAAAAACAGATGAAAATTCATGTGTGTGGGTACTGGACAAACCTGTTCTTTTAGAAGCTCCAGTGAATTCTACAGGTGCCCCAAATGACAACTTGAATCTGACTTACAGATCAGCAAATAGTATGCTGAGATCTTGTTCCTCAGAGGGGACATGTCCAGAGACCTGTGATACAGAGGGAAGAACAAAGGCTTCACGCACCACAGAGCCAATCCCAGATCTGACCCCAGGTCAACCACTTAACCTCTCTGAGCTTGTTTCCTGCTCTGAAAAATGGAGATAACTACCTCTCTTGCAGGATTGTTGTAAGAAGTGAAGGACATAAATATCCAAAATCTTGGTATGGTACCTGGTGCTTAACAGATACTAAGAGTGGGCTCTTGTAATTTGGACATCAATGACTTAATCATTTGTGGTTTTCACCCCCACACAGCCCAGGTCCCACTCTTGACCTTGGGGGGAGGGTGGTTCTGCTAGTCCATTATGCTTCCTTTCCATGTTAGTGCTGAACCACAAAATCTGGCCTTAAATGTAGGACCTGAATTCTGATAGCAATAATTTTCCCCTTAAATGCTTTAAATGGTTGTGTCTTCCCTAGATACGAGGGAAACAAACATAGCTGGGAACAATAGCTAGCTTATTGGAGTACAGGAGATTGTTGTTGTTCTCAGTAGCTGCAGCTGCCATGGAAGGTTGGTTAAAGTTGCTCTCTACCTCTTTGCCAGCATGGCACATGGAATCCATAAGAGTAAAATAATAATAGTGATAAAAGCTCACATTTGTTGAGCACTTATTATGTACCAAATGCTTTTATCTGAATCATTACAATAATAACTTTATGAGGTTGATAGTAATATTAACCTCATTTTATAGGTAAGGACCCTGAGTCTCAGTGAAGCCCCACTTTTACAAATGAGGAAACCAAATCTCAGAGAGGTTAAGTACCTGGCCAGTGGTCCTACAGGTAAGAAATGATAGAGCTGGAATTTGAGCTTAGGCGATTCAGCTCCAAAGCTGTGAGACTTTAGGATGGCAGATGATTCTAAAGATGTCAGCCCAGGAAGACTTTGAAGTCAGGTGATGGCTGCTTTTCTTGTACAGCTCGCACCTGGCATGCTAGAGTAAGTACAGGCGTTGTAGTCAGCCAGACCTCAAACTGCCACCTACTAACTCTGTGTCCTTGTCTTTGTGACTATGCCTTACTTTCTTCATCTGTAGAATAATGGTAATAATGATCCTCAGGATCATTGTGAGGGCCAGACAAAATTATGTGAAGTGCATGACCTATATCAAGCATTTAGTAAATAATAGCTGCTTTTTACTGTGCTATGGTTATAAGTTGTATAATTGGTTTATAGTTGAGGAAAGCTGAGGATCGAAAAGGGGAAAGGATTTAGCCAAGGTCACATGAAGGCAGAGCCAAGAGTATAGCCCCTTACCTTGGCATCTGACCTATGCTCACTCTGCTAGACCATGTGGAAAAAAGACCACTTTGTCTTTGGAGTAGTCCTGGTAGTGAGACAGAGTGTCTGTGAGCCCCAAGGTAGAAAGAAAGATTGATATGTATAATAGGTGTTCTCATTAATTACTGTTATCGCAAGCTGGAAGAGAGTGACACCTTCCCAGAGATCTCTCAGTGAAGGGCATCTTTAATGAGGCGACTTACCGCATCAAGGTGGAAAGACAGTTATACCAAATGTCACCTCTTTGTTCTGTGAGTCTTTTATTTACTCAACAGACAGCTACTCTGACCAGGCTCAATGCTGGGACTGGGGGCACAGAGGAGAATGAAGATATTCTCAACCCCAGGGAACACACAGGCACACACCATGTACCCCCTGAGCATTGAGGCCTCTGGGATTCTCATCAGAGCCAGCCACCTAACCTCACCCCATCCATCCATCCTCAGAAGGACATTTGCACATACTGTCAAAAGCAGCAGCCCCCAGTTCCCTTCTTACTGGATAACTAAGCTTCTTGACTTTTTATATGTGTTTCAGCCGGGAAGGGCTACCCCTGCAAGACATGTAAGATAGTGCTGAACTCCATAGAACAGTACCAAGCTCATGTCAGCGGCTTCAAACACAAGAACCAGTGAGTAATCATCCTTTGAAATTCAAGGGCATGCAGCAGGAGCTCAGGACTTCTAAATCACAACAAAGCCAGATACTCCTTGGCTAAATGGAATCCTGGCAACCTTTTTTCAGTCAACAAAAGATGAATGATTTAAGAAAAAGAAGTGTTTCCTCTGTAAGTTTCTCTCCCACCAGCTTCTCCTCAGTCTTTGGACTTGCTGGGCTGAAGGTTTTAGTATAGAAACATAGACAATTTCCATGGAGGTCTCCTGAAAGTACTTGAATTTCTTGGCCTTTAGCAGTCTGACTAGGGAAGCCCCTCCACCACTGACCTGAAATCCCTATCGTTCACCATCAATTTTGTGGCAAGTGCTCCCTCTACAGGTCATTATCAAATATGAGGATGTTCTTTTCATTCATTGATCAAATACTTATTGAACACCCTCTGAGAGATGGCCAGTCCCTACTGTCGTGACCTTACATTCTGAATAAGCCAGTAAATAACCAGTAGTTACAAACTGCAAGAAGTGCTCTGTAGGGAAGAGGTAAATAGAGAGTCATCTTGAAAAGATTAACATTTTTTGAGCCCTGTTCTCTTTTAGGCCATTGCCAAACATATTCTCTTGGGTAATCCCAACAATATCCTACAAAGAAGGAGTTATTATTCTGATTTTATAGATACAGGCAACCACCTCTCAAAGTGATACTATGAGTCAGAGCCATAATCCAAACAGGCTTGTCTGGCCCACAGCATGCTCCTCCAGGGTATCATACTGACTGGGAGGCTATAGCACCATGTGATATGAAAAAGCTGAGGCCTCAGCAGGGGAAGGACCATATAGTTCTGTCCCTTCCTCTCTAAAGGGAACTGTGTAGTATGGACAGTATGCCACATCACCTTCTGAGATAGGAATTATCATCCCTTTTTCATAGATGAGGAAACTGAGTTTCAGGCAGGCAAGTCTGGTGAAATGCTTGCTTAGACTATGGTGGTTCATTCTGTGTTACTCTCAGAGATGAATGAAATAAAGGTGTTGGAAACAGGGTATAAAGTAGAAGATGTCCTTGGTTCTCTTCTCTGCTGGAAGTCTCTTCTCCCACACTGCAGGAGGTCATCTTCTTTATTTGTAGATGTGTCTTTAATTGGGAGAATCTTGAGGCTTCTTCTAGACAAGGACTTGCCACAAGCCCAGCAGCCCAGCCAGAGTCTCACTGCAGATACAGCATACCTCCCTAGCAGTTTGACTGGTGACAGTTTCAGCAGACACCCTGGAGCCAGCCAGGGCCCTGCCCTGGGGCTACCCAGACCTAAAATGCTAGCATTACTTACTGTTTTCTTCTACACTTTCCAGCCCTGTGACTGACCTGGGGTCAGTCAACCTCTCTGTGCCTAGTTCTTCTTCTGAAAGATTATTGCTACAATTTAACTCCTAATTCAGTCTCATTTAATTTACAACTCAAGTAAATCTAATAACAGGTTAAGTGATTTACTCAAAATCACATAGTTACTTGGAGTTAGACCCAGAACTCAAACTTCTTTGACTCCAAAGTCTATTTATTTTGTTCTGCTACTTCCAAATGGGATGATGTAAGAATTAGAGATAATATATGTTAAGTGCTAGGACCAATAAGGGGAGCTATTATAGAAGCTTTCATTCATATAACAAATGTTTATTGAGCACCTATCACATGCCAACCCTGTTTTGGGCACTGGGCTACAATGGAAACCCAGACCAGTGCTGTACCCTAATCCAAAGAAACAGACCCTAAACAAATCCATAACAAACAAGACAACATCAGGCCGTGCCAGGTGCCCAGAGAGTGGGATATAGAGTGACAGGAGAGCCACTTTAGATTTGGTGTAAAGGGAAGGGAATAGTCATTTTGTACCACCAGGGTCATGTAGGGCCCCACAGGCAGAATAAATGGTTTTGTGCAGTGGAAAGACACGGCTGCAGTCCTGAATCTACCACGCTTTTAAAAAACTTACTGTGGTCAGATCACTTAGACTTCCTGAACTTTAGTTTCCTTGTACGTAAAATGGGAGTGCTATTCCCCCCCTTGCAGAATTGCCATGAGGATGAGATTAGATGCTGGAAACAAAGCACCCAGCATTGTGCCTGCATGCAGTGGCCCTCAGTAAAGGAAATACTCCCTACTTACTACTCCAATGCCATGGAAGAGCTATGCTATCATTAGAATAAACTACCTGGAACATCATCACAACCACCACAGACTGACCATGTGCCTTCATTCCTTCCCAAATTACAGGTCACCAAAAACAACGGCATCACCCCTGGGCCAGATTCCAGTGCAAAGGCAGTCCATTCAGAAAGACTCAGCTGCCTTGGAAGACTAGAGGTGTTTCTGTTTAGCACCCCAGGTTGAACCAGCCATGAGCCAGCTTCCTGTGACTGTGGTCGCCCTTGGCTCCCTCTTCCTTCTTTCTTACACCTGGAGAATACCTAGGCCTGAGTCAGGAGTAGGCCACAGACAGCCTCTGATTGGTCCAGGCAAATCCACTCCTACTCCTCCCCTTTGGAATGGGCCCTGTTGGTCAAGACAAGGGAAGCAGGGATACTGAGAGGACTTTGGGTCTTACAGGGTGATACTTGGGAGAATGGCCTTTCCCCTTCCCCAGCCCCAGGGCCATATATCATGAGGCCCCATGCCTGCCTTTCTTCTGCAGGTAAGTTTTGAACCAGTCACTGCAGCTAAAGAACTGAGCTTTCCCTGAGTTCTAGGCACCTCCAGTGAAACCTAGAGCTTTAATACCAGACCTTGGCCTAGATGGAAAGGACAGATGGAAGTGGCTGCTGCATGGAAGCTTGGAGCTAATGTGATACTCCCCTTCCCCCAAAGAGCGCAGGCTTTCCTGAGCCTTGGACCAGATTCTGGTCAGTTATACAGGTTTTTGCCCACTGTGAAGTCTCCTGGAACAATGACACGGTTCGGGCAGAGCATTGCTGTTCCTCCTGCCCCTTCTCCTCAGTTCCTGAATGGTGCTAAGGATCTGCAGCAGGGGACAAGCTAGAGTTTGGAGGAGGCCCCAGTACCCACCCAGTGGGGTCATGGAAAGCTCCACTGAGGGCCTTTCCCTCCTCCATCAGAAGTGCTCTGACCCAGGATCACATGGAAAACTCCCCACATACAAGTTTCACTGATGGTTTTGTATCCTTAAAGGCAAACCATCTGGTGCCAGCCAGCTCAGAGGTTCACTGTTGCCCTTCAGCCCTACTAGTCCTCTACTCCTTGTGCATCTGATGACCTGCCGAGGTTGCTATGGTGCTAGCCCTCCTCCATCATCCATCAGGAGATTCCTGGGTACCAGGCAACAGGATGGGGCCCCCAAGGAAAGAAAAGAGAGTGGGTGCAGTTTTCTGCAGTGAGGAAACAAATTTCAGGCCCCAAACCTGTATTTCTCCAACTCTATTGTTCTGTGGCACAGAACTTTGCTTGGAATGTACTTTTCCTCATAGCTTTTGAGCAGGAATTCCAGGGAGTGTCACTACTAGAGGCCCCTCTTCATTGGTTCAAAGAAGCCCCTAGCTGCTCTTGTGGCCTCTTCTCCCCACTCTCTATCCCTTTGCCTGTGAAATGCCTTTTTGCATTGTGTGTAGGTATATGTGTGTGTGCTTATGCTCTTGTCTCTTGATCACTGAAGCATCTAAATAAAGAATTTCTCCCACGAGCCAGACTGCAACTTAACAGACCTGGGATTTGGGGCCATACTGCCATTGGTTCTAGTATGTGTGTCCTGACCCTTCTCCCTACTCAGATTCCCAGGGCCCAAATACTAATAGGAGTTGGGATGGAGACAGATATCCTAATTGCTTGGCAACCATGTGGAAGTCTTCCTAGGAGCCCTAAACTCAATACAATGTCATCCACTCTTCCACCTCCCCCTGTCATAGATGGCCTCATGGAGGTACTTTAGAAGGCTAAAGCTGGGAATCTACTTTGTTTGAGAGGACCATTCTGGCTGCTATGTGAAAAAATAATGAACACAGGAAAGGAGACAGGGGGCCAAAATAGAGGCTGTGTCCAATACAGCTCTCCCCTTCAAGGCAGAGACATAGTTTTGTTAATCACTACTTACCTAATGTACAGTGTGGGGTGTCATGAACTATTTGTTGAATAAGAGTGAGAGTGCATAGGGAGAGATGGCCTTTTCCTGCACAGCTCCTTCATAGTGATAGAGTTGTTCCATGAAACCTATTGTAGGCCTGGTGATTCTTAAAAAAAACCTTTTCCATGACCCAGAAATAATCTGGGAAAGGAGTGTGTATGACAGCCTCAGAAGCCCTTTGTCCAACCTTTGTTTCATATAGCCAGTTCTGAGGAAGATACCCAGGCAGCCTCAGTTCCCATTCTTCACTCAGCAAACTTCTTGGGCGCCTGCTCTTGGCCAGCTGGAAAAGGCCCTACCTGGTCCTCAAGGTGGGTTCTCAGCTTCCAAAATCCAGGCTACCTCATCAATTTCCCCAGAGTCCTACCTCACCCTGGATGTCAGAGTCAACTGCATTCACCGCATCTTAGCAAGGAATTGAAGGACGGAGGGTGGGAGGGCTGCCATATCATGCATGTGCCCTTGGCCTGCAAGACCTCATAGTCTGGACTCAGAAGTCCCTGCCAACCTGTGTGCCCTTTGGCATCGGGACACAGGGATGAACACTTCTTGCCCTTGGGGAACTCACACACAAACATCATTATGGCCATGGTTAGAGGTTGTACAGGCACAATGGAATGCCCAGGATTCAGGCACTAACTGAAAAAGCTGGAGAAGCTGGGAAACTAGCATTTGACCTGCATTACAACCTTTTGAGCTAAGTGATGGTATTCCATTTTACAGAAAAGGAACAAGGCTTGAAGAGGTGCAGCAATTTGCCCAAAGTCTTGCCACTAAGAAGCAGCAAAATGGATTGTAGAATTTGATTCTGTAGCTTCCTAATCCAGAACTCTTTCCAACAAGGACCAGAGTCCTCACCACATGCCCCCTGGGCCTGCCTGACCCATCTCCTGGCAGGGCCATGGTCTCAGAGTGAGAGCCACTGGGGGTAGGATGGCAAGACACCAGACAAGGCTCAATGGTTATTTATATTCCAAGCCCCCCCTTACCTCTCATAATTTTACCCAAGATTCCCATTGTATTAGACTAGTTATAACTATAAGGAACTTACCTATAACTGGCTAGCCAGAAAAGGAAATTAATTGATTCATTCGATTAAAAATCCTGATACAAAGATGGCTAGATCGGGTTCTTACTGTGTCATCAGGAAGAACTTAATCTCACTCTGCTTTCCTGTGTATGGCCTCATACAGACTCTATTCAGAAGGTGGCAGGATAGCCACTGGCTATTCATATCCTAATAGATTGACAACTACAGTGGAAAGAACATCTTTGTCTACTAGTTCCAACAAAAAAATTCGAATTGACTCATTAGCCAACTTGGTCCTATTCCCATCCCTAAAGTAATCACTGCAGTAAAGGAAAATGGTACTCTGATTTGGGGCCTGAGAAAGAGGGAGCTCCACCTAAAACACATTAACTGAAAGATGTATCCTTAAAAGTAAGTGTGGGGCTCCTTCCAGATTAAGGGAGAAGAACAGATGTGTGCAGACAAAAATAACTGTTGTCAGCCATACCTAGAAACACTTTAACCATTTTTTCCCTTTTTGAGTTACAGCATACGCTTAGTATTGTGAACCAATTTTTAAAGTACTTAAATATCTGGGAGAGCAGTGACCCGCCAGATCAAGATACAGAAATTGCCAGCTCCCCAGAAATTTCCCTTGTTACACTTCCTAGTCAGTATCCCCCAGAAATAAGCACTATTTTGACCTCTATCACCATAGATTCGTTTGCTTGCTCTTAAATTTTATAAAAATAGAATCACATCCTCTTTAGCTCAGTATTATGTCTGTGAGATTCAACCATGTTATTGTGTCAGAAGTTTTTTTCCCATGCTGTGTAGTAGTCCATTATATGAATACACCACAAGTTAGCCATTCTATTGATAGACAGTTGGGTTGTTTCTAGGTTTGAACTATCATAAATAAAGCTATCATGAAATTTTTTGTATGTGTATGCACACAAGTGGAATTACTGCATTACAGGGTAGGTGTATATTTAACTTGTCTAGATAGTGCCAAATGATTTTCCAAAGTGGTTCTACCAACTTACCAACTTGTCAGCACTTGGTAATGTAAGTTTTTCTAATTTTGGCTGTTTCTGTAGCACCCAGGAATTTGAACCCAAGTCCTGACTTCATATCAGGGCCCCTTTTACTCTCAGCACCCCTGAGATCAGGTTTGAATTTCTCTAGTCTAGAAAGATCTCCAATGTCAATACTCAGGACCCACAATACACAATCCAGCAGGTAAACACCAGAGGGAGCTCCTGCCCATGGCTCTGGGGCCCAGGGAAGCTCTCACAGTGGCAGAGGCATCAGCCCTGGAGTGGCAGTCTAGTGATGTAGCAAAGAACTCGGGCTCTGGAATTGGCAACCAGGGTTCAGATCTCAGCTCTGCCACAGCAGGACTGTGTGATCTTGGTTAATTGACTTGTACCTCAAAGTGAAATACTAGTACCTACCTTGTAGGGTTATTGTGGGAATTAAAAGAATAGATATATATGAAACAATTATAGTACCTGGCACATGATAGATGCTATGTAAATGATGACTGCTGCTGTTTCTATTATTGACCTGAAGTAATCTCAGGGTCTCCCTGGTGAGATGAGGCCACGGGCAGATGGGTGTGGCAAAGCCCCCTGTATTAAAGACTCAGTGACTTATGAAATGCCAGAAAGCTAATTCAGACTGATGGGGCTGGGTGGCAGGGTGCAGGCAGTATGCTAGCCAGAGGTGATTCCTCCCTGAGCTCCAGCAATAAGTCACCTTCCATTAATAGGGAACTTCAGTTTATCCCAAGTACCCCAGGCTCTACAGCCAATGACAGCTCAGGTGAAGACAAAATGGACTCATGCTTGTAAAACTCTTAGCCCAGAGCTAGATGCAAAGTAAGTGTTGGAATGTAACAACCCCTTAGTGCAGACACAGAGCTGTGTATGTAACTGTACAGCAACCATGAGGCCATGTCATGGGAGACACTGGTCTGGTATTCAGAGTCCCTGGTCTTGGTCTGAGCTTTATCGTCATCTTCATGTAACCTGAGGCTTTGCAGTTTTCTGTGAAGGTTGGAAGAAATCATAGTTCCCGGCCCAAGTCCTGAAGAGGTAATAATGGGCAGTTAGGGGTTCTCAGTAGGTTAGGAAGAAAGCCCTTCCCTCACAGCAGCCTCCGCCAGATGAACTGTTCACACTGCCTAACCAGACCTTCTGATGAGTGATCACTAGTGTCAATACAGAAGGAAAAACAATTCTTCCCTTTGACCAACTGTCCACCTAACAACCTCCCCTACTCTGCCCTGAGCCAAGCCTGCATTACAGAAAGGGCAGATATGGTCCTGTTTTGGCAATCCCGGTCTCACTGTCCTCCATAAATGCTGCTTCACCTGTCCAGGAGTTCCAATATGCAGAAGAAACGTATGGCTCTGTAAATGGGTCCGTGCTACAGGGCAGTGACCCCAATGGCCACTAGGCCCCTCCATTTCTGCTCAGCAAAGTAGACCAGCCCAAGAACCTTATTGTTTGCATGCCTAAGAGAATAGAATGTCTTTTCTTGAGCCCCTTTATTTGATATTTCATACAGTCCTCAAGACAACTTGAAAAGACTCGATTTCTGAAAGAAACTCAGAAGCAAAGTTTTGCAGTCTGTTGAATGAATCCAAGCAGTAGCTACAAAGAGATTTGATGCCCCCTCCACCCTGCCTCCGTGCTGCCAAGCCTTTGTTAGCAGCCAGCTCTTTCTACTTACTAAGGCCGCCTTGCCTTTCCCTCGGGTCATTTCTCTTGGGAGGGAGGACCTTGGGAGGGAGGACATCCCTGTTTGAGGCTTTTAATTCAGTCACCTTCCTGGGAGAATATCTGATGTCTGGCCTGCTCATCAGCCTTTCTTTTTCACTTTTCCCTTGGACATCTCTGGCTCCACTCTTAGACCTGTGGTTCTGAGAGACTGGCCCCACTCCCTGGGTTGAGGGTGACGCAGGCTTGGGAAATCAGAATCCTAAGTCTGTAGCTGTTAGTAGCTATCTTTGCCACTCAGAAGGACAATCCGTCTGAGAATTAAGCCAACACCACCAGAGGAAAACAGAGCTTAGAGATAAGAAGAGACTGATTTCTGATGAACACCTGGATCCAACCACACCTGAATCTAATACTCTCAGGACTTTTTTAATTATGTGTCAATAAATTCCCTTTTTCTTTAGGTCAGTTTAAGTCAAGTCTCTGTTACAACCAACAGTGTGGCCTAATACATGTTCCAGCTCCCCTGTCAACCTGGAGACCTCCACTAATCCTGAGATCATTGATCCCCAAGGCTGATTAGCTTCCCTTCTGTGCTCCCGTATGCTCTATGCCCCCTCTAGCATTACCCTTAATGTACTATGTTATGATCTGTTTAATTCCCCATCTCTTTTAAATTAGAAACTATTTGAGGGCAGGAACTGGAACTTATTTATCATACAGGGTACCTGGAGCCCATCATAAGACTATGATTGTTTTAATAACTGCTTGATGATTGAGTAAATCCATGGATAATGAATAAAAGTAGGTTTGGGACCATTGCTGAG